ACTCTGAAGCAGGATCCATTAATAGCTTTGATAATAGGTTCGATTAAGCTTATGGAGCAGGGAGAGAATGAATCTAGCAGCGATTAGCGAAGAGGCGGGGCCAGGAGCTATGAACCGACCCCGGTAACCACAATTACGTGAGGTGAACTGCCATAGAGGATCTTGTCATCCAACATACATTAGTAGCACCAATTATCTTTCTCGTTCTCACACCTGACATAGAACATCAATCACTGCATTGCATCATCCTATACTAGAATTAGCATGAGAATGGTATCTTTTCAGGGCAGAGTAGATGATATGAATCAAGTCTTCCAGTGGACCACAAAATAAAACATAACCTGTCTTTCCACAAATACATCTTCTTGTCAGAACAATGATTAAGACTCTGGTAACTGCACTTTTTTGGGTAATGGATACACCCATTGTAATCAGTCGAAATGTAGCTGGTCTTAAATTGTGTAGAACATTCGGGATAATGCAATTATCTAGACAGTGTACACCATAAATCTGCTTCATTGCCCATATCATTTCATGGGTGATTAACATATTATATGATGGCTGGTTAACCCAGTAAACTGGGCGGTAACCCAGTTTACTGGGTGGCCATACAGACTCAAATGCTCAAAAATGTTATTAGATTCGTGTTCATTTAATACTGAATAACGGTGTTAGAAAAACAGAACTGTGAAGATTTTTCCAGTCTATCCAAATTAAAACTTGTCACATTCCACACAGGGAACGCGGTACATGTCACCATATGACAGACGAGGAAAATTTATAAAATGTATTTTTTATCTCAAAAACCATTCTTTCAGTGACTCGTATTGAAATACTTATGTGCTCCGGTTAACATGTTAAGACTTTCAGTGTACTGTCTATTAGTTCTATTATATAACATGTATCCTAACTGCTGACGATGGATTATATTGAGAGGCTTCAAACTTTGTCCCTAAATTTTCCGTCTCGTCTTTTAAATGCACAATTGCTAGTTTTGAAATCTTTGTCTATATCATATCCTTCTTCGATTTATTTCCTATCCAGTTTATGACTCTTTCTTTCTACATACTTACTAGTCTCAAACCTTAAAATCTATTCTAAAACTGATTACGAAAAAGTAAATGAACAATTGCTTCCCAAATTAACAGTGCATGATCGTTTGGGCAACCTTACTGACAAATCATTTGATGACCTACAATTGGTGACCTTAGATTAGAATAGCATGAACTCTCCAGGTCAACGAGGAAGGGGATATGGGTTTTCATGGATACACTGTTTCAACAATGCTTAGAGAACGAGTGACTACGTGTATCGTGAACTACATGTGAAGATACAGATTATCGAGAAAACAGAACGCATGCTCTCAGACTGGTTGAACTCGACTTGGAGCTCCGAGTCTGGCATTAATCTGCCTGACACTCAGCTAGACCAGAGAAAAAGGCAGCATTAGGTTTTGGATTAGGCTTGGCTCCATCTAGGGTAAAGGTTAATATATAGACTGAGAAGTTCTGGTTAACAGATTTCTACAAGAAAATTAACAGTGTATAAGTATTCGCAGTAAAGCTAATTCTTGTCCTCATATCTAAAGGTATAAATAATATAAGTCATATAAATATACTTCGATATTATATCTTTAATAAAGACTCATTTAGAAAGTATTGATTAGCTCTAGTCTCCATATTACATATTAGACACAGATTCGTTGGAAATTTTATGGAGAAAGATGACGAAGGATGATTCAGGAATCAGAAAGCTTTTAACGAAGACAGGTTCAATTCAGTGAATCTGAGCTCTCCGAGGTGTAGATTTAGGGGATTTCACTTAAATAAACACGTGGAAAAACCGGAATGAATGAAGGCGATGTAGATAACGTGCTGAAAATATTTTAACAAGGCAAGATTTACATCTGTGGATTCAAGCTGGACAATTTTAAATTTAGGAAGGAGAGAAGGAAGTATTAGTTTCTCATTAAAGTTACAGATGAGTGGAACAGGTACAGGAGTGTGTTTTGGTGTGATATGGACCTGCCTAGCAAGGGCCAGCAGACCTGATGGAGTGCTCCACTGTTTCTTATACATGAAAGTGTCGCATACCCTAGTGTCACTTACCCTAGTGTCACTTACCCTAGTGTTACTTGCCCTAGTGTCACTTACCCTAACATTGATGACACACATGGACCTATACGTGACATATAACAAGTAATTATTGAGAGATTCAGCTCGGAAATATTTAAATATGTCCGTATCTTCGTAGTCGTCCACTGTCTCTGCTGCGTATGATGAAGAGTTTCTACAGGGTATTTATGGGTATCACAAAATTCTAGGCTCAGAAGATTCTCTGTCAGTTTCAAGAGTTTAAACACTATCTGAGGCAGAGTTTATGAATCACATTTACCTAATGTTGTTACCTGATCATATCTCACAAATTCTCCCCCTGTATGATCGGTGACTTAAATATGACCTCGTCACATGTTCGTCCCTCACTTATTAGCTTCATCACACCCTATGACTATTGAATCAAAATGGCGCATTAGACCGGCAAAATGGCGCATTAGACCGGCAAAATGTCATTAGACCGGCAAAATGGCGCATTAGACCGGCAAAATGGAGGACACAGTTTTCCAAATCACGTGACTGAAATCTCTCTCTAGTTAAAATAGATAATTATCCCTTAAATAATTACGAATTGGTGATGACGTACGTAAACGCAAAAAAAAGAGAAAAAAAAAAAACACATGTATACAAACACAAAGATATACACAAACACATCATGTGCTTTGTTATACTTTAGAAATATCAATTTTTTATTGCATGATGCTTAATGATTAAAATATATTGCTATTAAAATCAGTTGAAATATTTTGTGTTAAAAGTGTTCCACATCGTTATATGATTGCGTAATGAGAGCTCTCTGCCTTGTTCATCTGTTTTGTAAAAATTCTTATACCATCAACAATTTGATTATATATAGAGATGGGGGAGCAATTAGCGGATGGAGGATCCAGACTACATTCCTGGTGCTGAATTATCTAAACGGGTTTAGCTCTTCATGAAATACAATCTGAATTGTTGTTTGGGAAAATATGGTGAACGCTGGCCAACTCCCGTGTAAAATGTATTTAACTTAGGGTAGTCTAAAGTTTTCCTTAAGTGGTATCTCTCAAATCCTTTCTAGGAGGGGTTTGAGTGGCACTAGCTAGCAAGACTTGAGTAGTTTAAGTTAAAAGTTCAGTGTCCTGACTCTGAAAGTCTTGGTGTAATGAGTAACGATATCCTCATCGCCCTGTTGAAGTCTATCAATTCAGGAAACACATAAGTACATCACTTTATCCACAAATGAATAAACTATTGCTGAGAAACATGGCGATAATTTGCTCTAGTAAGTTAGTCTGTTATTGAATTAGTAAACTATATGGATGTTTATTTAGTTGTCATGCAGAATGATGTAGCTTCATCCTGACAGTGGTCCCACAGTGCAACTATCATTCAGAATCGGTTAGCAGCCAGCTGTGGATGTTTCCACTATGTTATTATCATTTAAAGTAAGATAGCAGCACCCTGTGGGTATTTTCACAATGTAACTCTCACACAGAAGAGGTTACCAGCAGAATGTAACTCTAATGTAGAATTGGAAAGCAGCACACTGTTGATGTTCCCACATTGTGAGCATTGCGGCAATGTAACTCTCTTACCGAAGAGGGTACCAGCACTCTGCTGACGTTCCTACAGTGTAACTCACATACAGAAGAGGGTACCAGCGCTGTGCTGAGGTTCCTATAATGTAACCCTCATACAGAAGAGGGTACCAGCACTCTGTTGAGATTCCTACAATGTAACTGTTGAGGTCCCTACAATGTAACTATCACACAAAGCAGGTTGTCGCACACTGAGAGTGTTCCCAACAGTGCAGCTATAGTATATTATTATTATAATCAAGGGGGAAAGCGCTAAACCCAGAGGATTATACAGCGCCTGGGGGGGGGATGTGGAAGGCATTCAGGCTTAATTCGGGGAACTGGAGCACAAATCCAATTCCCTAAATCAAGAGCCCCTCACCAACATCAAGGAACCTTCCTTGAGGGGTGCTATCGTATAGAATTTGGTAACTGACACCGTGGCTGTCTCCTACCAAGGTAGGGTGATCCAACAAGTGAAAAACTTTCACCGTCATTCCTTCGATCACTCTTACTAGAAATGCACCTGCATCACAACTCAGACGACCTTCCAAACTGAAACATTCCCATCCCTCCTTCAGAGTTCAGACACTGTTCTTCCTATGTAAAGGGCTCAAGTCCTCTGGGTTTTTCTCTGAATTCCTTTATAAATGTTACCTTGCTAACACGAGAGGAGGGCAGGGTCGGACGTCCCTACCCTCCTCTCGTATATATACTGGCACCCTTATCCTCGTGTGTTAGTGAGACTAGTTAATGGTCCGAGTCCGACCGAAACGTCATCATTAAGTTTCTTTCTCCTATGTGAGTGTTATTTGTTTATTCTACCACAAAAGCTCTTAATTGCTTTAATGAACCTACTTCCTATTCCATCTACTCCTTCATGTAACAATTAAACAGAATGTAGTCACAAAACACTGTAGATGTTTCAAAGGTATACCAGTCATACTGAATAGGATAACAGGGCGCTGAGTGTATTTCCGTCTTATCAGTCTGAGGCAGATCTTTGTAGTAGCACACTGCTATTGTTCCCATCATGTATCAGAAAGAACAGGATAACAGCACTGCTTTGTGTTTTATACATTCAAACGCTCATACAGAATAGAGTTGAATCGCACTACGGGCGTTCCCACAAGATAATTAAGGTATATTGTAGCAGCATACTTCGATGTTTCCACCATGTAAGAGTTATATCAGGTATGATGGTAGCATGGCACGGTTGTTCCCGCTATATGACTATCAGAGTTATGTATCAGCACCCTCCTGAATTACCTATTTTTTTATATTAAAAAGTCAAGTAGTTGCAGTAGTGTTTCTATTGTCTCTTCAGACGCACCTGTGTGTAGGAACCCTCAGATGACTTACCACGGAGCTGCCAGACATGAAGAGGTGAACATTGCCTGTTACCTGGACGCTCATCCTCCGCCTATGTCCTTCAGGTGGACCTTCAATAACAGCGGCGAGAGTGCTGATATTCCCAAGGTACGCCGCACTAACACCAACAGATTGACTGGTCAGAAACCGGGCCGCGTTCTAGATTACTGGGGATCGAGCCTTCAACACCTCACTGCTCTGAATGATCCACTGTGGGTTTAATGCTGCATGCAGTATAGCACAATGAAATTCTCTCGCATCAGCTTCCACGAGTTGGTGGTAAATCCGAGAGAGTCATTCAGTGCACGATGGAGTGATTGCAAGATTCGACGTCTGCTAATAGTTAGTAAGGCTCCTGACTAGTGGTACACACACACTCTCTGTCTGTCTGTCTGTCTGTCTGTCTGTCTGTCTCTCTCTCTCTCTCTCTCTCTCTCTCTCTCTCTCTCTCTCTCTCCTCTCTCTCTCTCTCTCTCTGTCTCTCTCCTCTCTCTCTCTCTCTCTCTCTCTCTCTCTATCTCTCTCTCTCTGTCTCTCTCTCTGTCTGTCTGTCTGTCTCTCTCTCTCTCTCTCTCTTCCTCTCATTGAGTATTGTCTCTCCTAGGAGCACATACAGCCACTGGAGTCAGGGTCAACAGTGAGCTACACACCCAACAACGAGCTGGACTACGGCACTCTCCTCTGTTGGGGTACCAACGCTGTGGGACACCAACGACGCCCTTGTGTCTTCCATGTCTTCCCAGCCGGTGAGTGTCCTAATCCTGGAGAATGACTCGTGTCTTAGTGACTATGCTGTTTATAGTAACAGTGTTTTAGAGGTATACTGAGCGTCTAGTGATATAGTGTCAGAGTGGGCGTCTCTCTGAGCAAACATCTCATTTTCTCACTAGTGAGCACTAATCTCATCACTCCAGCTTAGTGTTTCTCCTGCTGTCCTCTATTCCTTCCATTCACTGTGTGACTATAATATTCTAATATCCGCTGGTTGAGTAAAGTCACAATATTGTGGCTGAACCAAATCAAGAGAAGAATTGAAGTAACCCTGAAAAAATTTCCAATATTGGTAGTGACTTTTGATACCAGGACCATCAGTGAATTTACAAAGACTTCAACAGACCTTGTGGAACCGCAGGATGTCGAACTTTGCAGAATACCATGTGGAGGATGTGACCGAGTCTACATCAGGTTAACTGCTGGAAGTCTTCGAATACGAATGATGCCTATAGAGCCGACAAAAAAAAAAAAAAAACGGAATAGTCCGGCACCGTGTCACCCATCTCCATTTTTAATTTTATCAAAATAACGAGATAAAAATGCAGATGCCTTTAATAATCGCAAATTAAACTCACTACCACATTGAGAAAAACAGATGAATGTTTCACTTATTCATATTCATAACACGTATAGCATTAGAGCTGAAATTAAAGTGGTCTGACAGGCCTGCTGAGGCACTGTTCTTCTAACTCACTCAGCACTTGATGCTTCGGACCCCACACACGGAAGTACCATATACGCTGAAATTTTCCGTCATATCTTATGTACTTCATTAAACTGATTTATGCTGATTCGTTGTGTAACATAGGTTCATTCGCAGTCAATGCCTTATTCATTATAGTGAGCAGGTGACATCCGCATTCATACTCAGAGTTTACATCCTCACCTTCCAGCCAGAGACATCACCTACATTACAGGTGTCATCGATTCCTGATCAGATGACATCCCAGCCAACTTCCAGCAGCGAGGTCCCTCACTTCCAATCAAGAGGTCTGACCCACTTCACTCGCTCCACCGAACTGCCGTTTTGCTTTCCACGAGTATTTATTTACGCTGGATATATTCGTACACCTCTACATGACTTGTTCATGCTCTTCTTAAAGCAAAACATTTTCTCACTAAAAATTTTCTTCCGTTTTAGTTTTCACCCTGTTTAAACTGCATCTTTTAAAACCATTTACTGTATAATTTTTCAAAGTTTTAAGAATTTTTCTCACAAAGAAGACTGAAAGCATTTTTCAGGATTTCCATTTACTTTAATTATTGCCCTGTCGATAAACATATATATTGTGATTCGGATATAATTAATTTGAACGCTTATGTGTAGATTAAAATAAATATTTTCGTTTTGGGGCTAGTGCCAGGGCTACTCTCTAATTTTTATGAAAACATAAGAACATTAGATAAATAGCTACAATGATCCATGCTTTGCAGGTCTTTCCTAAGACCAACCATCCACTCTTGCATAAGAACATAAGAACATAAGAAAGGAGGAACACTGCAGGAGGCCTGTTGGCCCATACTAGGCAGGTCCTTTACAATTCATCCCACTAACAAAACATTTGCCCAACCCAATTTTCAATGCCACCCAAGAAATAAGCTCTGATGTGAAAGTCCCACTCAAATCCAACCCCTCCCACTCATGTACTTATCCAACCTAAATTTGAAACTACCCAAAGTCCCAGCCTCAATAACCCAACTAGGTAGACTGTTCCACTCATCAACTACCCTATTTCCAAACCAATACTTTCCTATGTCCTTTCTAAATCTAAACTTATCTAATTTAAATCCATTACTGCGGGTTCTCTCTTGGAGAGATATCCTCAAGACCTTGTTAATATCCCCTTTTTTAATACCTATCTTCCACTTATACACTTCGATCAGGTCTCCCCTCATTCTTCGTCTAACAAGTGAATGTAACTTAAGAGTCTTCAATCTTTCTTCATAAGGAAGATTTCTAATGCTATGTATTAATTTAGTCATCCTACGCTGGAGACCAGAACTGAGCTGCATAATCTAGGTGAGGCCTTACTAATGATGTATAAAGCTGCAGTATGACCTCTGGACTTCTGTTGCTTACACTTCTTGATATAAATCCCAGTAATCTATTTGCCATATTACGTACGCTTAGGCATTGCTGTCTTGGTTTAAGGTTGCTGCTCACGATAACCCCCAAGTCCTTTTCGCAATCTGTATGGCTAAGTTCTACATCATTTAACTTATAAGTACTAGGGTTATGGGCACTCCCGAGCTTCAGAACCTTGCATTTATCTACATTGAACTGCATCTGCCACTTTTCTGACCAAGAATAGAGTTTGTTTAAATCCTCCTGAAGTTCCATAACATCTACGTTTGAATCAGTTATCCTACCTAAATTTGTGTCATCGGCGAATTTGCTCATATCACTAGTAATTCCCTCATCAAGATCATTGATATATATTATAAACAACAACGGGCCCAAGACTGATCCCTGTGGAACGCCACTTGTGTAACCTAGGTACACATACTTCAAGTGCAACAGCAAAAACAGGCAACAGTACATGTATATATATATATATATATATATATATATATATATATATATATATATATATATATATATATATATATATATATATATATATATAATATATATATATATATTATATATATATATATATATATATATATACCTTACCCTCTTCCATACATTTATTAAATAATTGCACCAACCACTCCAAAACTATATCCCCACCTGCTTTAACATTTCTATCTTTATCCCATCAATCCGGCTGCCTTACCCTCTTCCATACATTTATTAAATAATTGCACCAACCACTCCAAACTATATCCCCACCTGCTTTTAACATTTCTATCTTTATCCATCAATCCCGGCTGCCTTACCCCCTTTCATTTTACCTACTGCCTCACGAACTTCCCCCACACTCACAACTGCTCTTCCTCACTCCTACAAGATGTTATTCCTCCTTGCCCTATACACGAAATCACAGCTTCCCTATCTTCATCAACATTTAACAATTCCTCAAAATATTCCTTCCATCTTCCCAATACCTCTAACTCTCCATTTAATAACTCTCCTCTCCTATTTTTAACTGACAAATCCATTTGTTCTCTAGGCTTTCTTAACTTGTTAATCTCACTCCAAAACTTTTTCTTATTTTCAACAAAATTTGTTGATAACATCTCACCCACTCTCTCATTTGCTCTCTTTTTTACATTGCTTCACACTCTCTTAACTTCTCTCTTTTTCTCCATATACTCTTCCCTCCTTGCATCACTTCTACTTTGTAAAAACTTCTCATATGCTAACTTTTATAAAGGCAAAGGGGATAAAAGAGAGTGCAAAAATTATAGGGGGATAAGTCTGTTGAGTGTACCTGGTAAAGTGTATGGTAGAGTTATAATTGAAAGAATTAAGAGTAAGACGGAGAATAGGATAGCAGATGAACAAAGGGGGCTTTAGGAAAGGTTTGGGGGTGTGTGGACCAGGTGTTTACAGTGAAACATATAAGTGAACAGTATTTAGATAAGGCTAAAGAGGTCTTTGTGGCATTTATGGATTTGGAAAAGGCGTATGACAGGGTGGATAGGGGCAATGTGGCAGATGTTGCAAGTGTATGGTGTAGGAGGTAGGTTACTGAAAGCAGTGAAGAGTTTTTACGAGGATAGTGAGGCTCAAGTTAGAGTATGTAGGAAAGAGGAAATTTTTTCCCAGTAAAAGTAGGCCTTAGACAAGGATGTGTGATGTCACCGTGGTTGTTTAATATATTTATAGATGGGGTTGTAAGAGAAGTAAATGCGAGGGTCTTGGCAAGAGGCGTGGAGTTAAAAGATAAAGAATCACACACAAAGTGGGAGTTGTCACAGCTGCTCTTTGCTGATGACACTGTGCTCTTGGGAGATTCTGAAGAGAAGTTGCAGAGATTGGTGGATGAATTTGGTAGGGTGTGCAAAAGAAGAAAATTAAAGGTGAATACAGGAAAGAGTAAGGTTATGAGGATAACAAAAAGATTAGGTGATGAAAGATTGAATATCAGATTGGAGGGAGAGAGTATGGAGGAGGTGAACGTATTCAGATATTTGGGAGTGGACGTGTCAGCGGATGGGTCTATGAAAGATGAGGTGAATCATAGAATTGATGAGGGAAAAAGAGTGAGTGGTGCACTTAGGAGTCTGTGGAGACAAAGAACTTTGTCCTTGGAGGCAAAGAGGGGAATGTATGAGAGTATAGTTTTTACCAACGCTCTTATATGGGTGTGAAGCATGGGTGATGAATGTTGCAGCGAGGAGAAGGCTGGAGGCAGTGGAGATGTCATGTCTGAGGGCAATGTGTGGTGTGAATATAATGCAGAGAATTCGTAGTTTGGAAGTTAGGAGGAGGTGCGGGATTACCAAAACTGTTGTCCAGAGGGCTGAGGAAGGGTTGTTGAGGTGGTTCGGACATGTAGAGAGAATGGAGCGAAACAGAATGACTTCAAGAGTGTATCAGTCTGTAGTGGAAGGAAGGCGGGGTAGGGGTCGGCCTAGGAAGGGTTGGAGGGAGGGGGTAAAGGAGGTTTTGTGTGCGAGGGGCTTGGACTTCCAGCAGGCATGCGTGAGCGTGTTTGATAGGAGTGAATGGAGACAAATGGTTTTTAATACTTGACGTGCGTTGGAGGTGAGCAAAGTAACATTTATGAAGGGATTCAGGGAAACCGGCAGGCCGGACTTGAGTCCTGGAGATGGGAAGTACAGTGCCTGCACTCTGAAGGAGGGGTGTTAATGTTGCAGTTTAAAAACTGTAGTGTAAAGCACCCTTCTGGCAAGACAGTGATGGAGTGAATGATGGTGAAAGTTTTTTCTTTTTCGGGCCACCCTGCCTTGGTGGGAATCGGCCGGTGTGATAATAAAAAAAAAAAAAAATATATATATATATTTCCATGGGGAAGTGGAACAGAATTCTTCCTCTAAGCCATGCGTGTTTAAAGGCACA